AGAAACAGAACAAATAAATTAATAAATTTAGCAAAATTGGATTTAAAGGAGATTGTAGGAAGATGTGGGTGTTTATAAATGGTTGGTTATTAAATAATAATAATAAATTAGATAGATACTGTTATTATAAAATATTTAGGATAGATAGATACAATGATTAATGCTCAAATTTTGTTAAAATATTTGCAGAGAATATTTTTAAAATAAAACTTTACTTTTAAATTTTTTTGGATCTTACCCCTAATGTGAATCCTTCCGTTACCAAGCACCAGTATCGATCAAACTGAAAAAAATTTTAAGCTGCAATCATTGATCGAGTGTAGATGAAATAAGAGTAAAGGATTTAAAGTATTTAAAGACAGAGATCAGCGCCTTGCTTGCAAAATTTGTGAATCTGTGTGTGCAAAACGGTGTATATAAAAATAACTTAAAAATGCAAATATACGTCCAATATTCAAACAAGGTAATCACTTAGAATATTCCAATTAATGATTTTATTTATTTTAATTGTTATTTTGTGAGTAATAAATAAAGCCGTTGAAAAAGTTATTGTTCAGCAAATTAGTATATTTCAGGAAAAAGATCATATATTAATATCTAAAGCAAAACGTGATGTTAATACAATGATGAACTAAACTGTAAAAATTATGTCGTTGTATTGTTCAGTGATGATACGCTGGATCACGAAATGCTCCTTGAAGTAATGCAAGAATGTGGGAACGAATGGGGAAGAAGCTGATGTAACACTGTACGCCAACCGGGTCTGTATATGGACCTGTTGGGTACATAATGACTGTGAATAGCATTAATAGCGTTGTAAAACATTTTTTCTCTTATATGTACGCCAAGGACACGTGCCTAATGTACGCCTGCAGGGACATTAATATTATAAAGGAGAGGGTGTAGGCTGATTTCATTAGTATACCAAAATGGGCGCATGAAAATGGCATTATATTTAATGTATCCAAGACTTGTATGCTTCTACACTCTCCATATATGAAAATTCGTATGAGTGCCCACATAACATACATACAAATAGTAAATAATTACAAGTACTTAGCGCTAACAATAGATTGCAATTTTAGTTGGAAACTGCATATTGATATGTGATAATGTAATAGGTAGACACATATTATCTAGGCTTACTAACTTAAAACGTATAGTCATCATTAAAGCCCTTCACAAGTCCACTGCTGAACATAGGCCTCCCCCAAGGAATGCCACAAAGCACGGACTTGAGCCACATGCATCCATCAACTTCCTGCATATCTTACCAAGTCGTCACTCCATCTAATGGAGGATTGCCCTACACTTCACCTACCGGTACGAGGCTGCCACTCGAGAATCTTTATTCCTCATCAGTTGTCGGTTCTTCGAGTGATATGGCCGGCCCATTGCCACTTCACTTACTAATCCGCTGGGTTATATCGGTCACTCTGGATATTCTCCTTTCTAAGTTTATCACGTGGAGAAACCCCGAGCATAGTCCTTCCCATAGCTTGCAGAGCGACCTTAAGCTTTCACATACGGCCAGCAGTGAAGAACTACTCTCTGATCCATAAGTTATCACTGTCAACACGTACTGGTTGCAAGATCACGTTTTCAAGTTTTGAGGTACACCTGACGAAAAGATGTATCGTAATTTCCCGAACGCTGCCCAGCCGAGTTGAATCCGTCGATTGACCTCTCGGTTGAAGTTGGACTTACCTAGTCGGACTATTTGTCTCAGGTAAACATACTCATCAGCAATTTTGAGCTTAGTGCTTCCAAAAACTACCGGCATAGGTGTGACATGGACGGTACACATGATCTTTGTTGTGTCTATGTTCATCTTAAGAGCTATCTGTTGGGAAGCACTATGCTCAATGGCGCCTCGCCATTGAGCATAGTGCTTAGGTCCTCCAGCGATTTTGCCATAAGAACTATATCGTCGGCAAATAGAAGGTGAGTGATGTACTCGCCATTGATGTTAATACCGTATCCTTTCCAGTTCAATAGCTTGGGTCCAATGCAGTGGTGAAGAGTTTCGGGGATATAACGTCACCCTGTCTTACACCTCACTGGGGGACTGTAAGCTCATTCTGCGTAGATCGGACCAAAAACAATAATATTCAAAAACTGAAGGTAGCCCGGCTAACTGTGACATCGGGGCGTCAAACATCTCAGTCCCTCCATGACCTTTATAATTTTAATGACCATGGGTGCTGTAAGCACCCGAAACGACGGGAATTAAAATGTTAAAATAAAACGCGATAAAATCCTTAAAATTGGTTTCATTTAATGTGTAGTGTGTAGTGTTCGTGTTTATAAGTTAAATATTAATGGTTTTTATTTCGTACCAGGCTATTTTCCTGATGTGTGCAAAAATTTTGCAATTATTAGAAGTTAATAAGGAATGAATATAAAACAGAATACGAACAATATACACTAAAATTAATGTTGTGTGAATCCGCATTTAATTACCGGCATTTCCTTATTATGGTTGATAAAAATTTGTTATCTTAGGATTACGAGTATTATTTTTATAGGCAATTATTTTTCGATGCTCCATAATGTGAATAAATAAATATCCACGTTTTGAAACAGTCTGTAATAGCGAATGCCCACAATAATTCAATTGGCTTTGAAAAATGTTCTATTAATTTAATTGCGAATTTCATTGACTTTAAAAATTTTATAAGTATCTTACTTATTTGTTAAATATAAGTACAAATATAAGTAGCCGATCGAGTAGCGACATCTATTAAATCCGTTCATCATGATGGAGAGCTTATTCATGTAAACTTATTCATATTGAGAAATGATGATGATTGTAGATTTTAAGTTAGATTAGATAATATTTTAAGCAGACATCTTTTCGAATAGTGAAAACCGCTCTAACAATTTTTCTTTTCGTACTCCAGTATATTTATCCTCCTGTTTCAATAAATCGTTTCTGTTACAGCTGCAAGCTTGAACTCCTTGTCTCTACATATTCGTCATGCTATGCCTTCTTCTCTTAAATTTACTCAAAGCTTATTACTTGGAACGAAAACATTTGCCATAACACTTCCCGTTCTTTCTTGTGTCTATCCATCAATCTTTTCTTAACTGTGTTTTTTTCTTAATTTTATAGTTTGGAAGATTTTCAGAATATTTATTTTTTCATTATTTGAATTCAAAAGTAATTTTACCAATTTTCAAGATACAATAATCATTTAATAATTTTTCACAATACATTTAATACGAAATTGATTTGTAAAATAATAAGTCTCATATAAACTGTAACGCACCCAATTTCACAATCTAAGATTATAAATTTACAAAATACTTTCTTAGTGGATGCCTACCTACAAAAGTAAAAAGGAAGCTTTTGCCCCAAACACACTGGTAAATAACAAGGATATATATTTAAAAATTTAATAAAAATAGATATTTTATAATTTTAATTCAAGAGTATTTTGCACCAGTTTTCAAATTAAAAAAATGTTTTATTTCTTCTCCATATAAATGGTGAACATCCATTGTCCCCTTCGTAACGAGAGAACGTTGTATTTAAAAATCGCAAAATACGTATTCATTTATTTTATTTACAGATTATTTTTTGATTGATGGGAAGATTGACTCGAAACATTCTAAATGTTTCGAGTTAATCTTCCCATGGAAGAAAATATTTCAATAAAATTGTAACGATCCTATTTCACTATCTTAGGGTTTTAATTTTCCAAAATATTTACTTAGTGGATGCCCACGTAAAAAAGTAAAAAATAATCTTTTGCCCCAACGTTTCCACGTCCAGCGGCGTGAACTATGTGTCTCAATATAATACTTTTCATACAAACTTTAACCCTCGTTTTAAAACCTGAGAGGTAATTTTTTTTAATATAATAGATGGATATTTTTTGAAGAGTATTTGCAACAATTTGGTTAGTTAAAAATAACATTGATTACTTTTCCCGATAAAAATTTGAACATCCTCTTGCCACACCGTTATATATTATTATGATTCAGTCACTTAGGACATCTTCACCTTCATATATAGATGAGATAATTTTAATATATTTAAGCAGTAACATAAATAAATTAACTTTTACAAATCGTAAATATTATTAGACTTTTCAACTTTTTACACACTAGCGGCTCCGTCGTCGGGACACATGACGCACCGCGCCTTCCTCCAAGGCTTTTTGGTTGCGCAACGGACCCTCGAATCTACTACCTCAGCGGCTTGCTGATCTCAGCGGCTATGATTTATAGCGGTAGGTTGAGAGGACATACGTCACTGCAGTCCACCAACACACATCTGAGGTTTGCTCGCCAAGGCCAATCGGAATGGCCACCTCGAGCCGACCTATCACCTCAGGCCAGCCAAGTGATTCCTCTTTGTTCACGGTGGGTGACCAAGTCACGACAAGGCATTCTCTAAGAAAAGGCGATATGGTCACTGCCACCGTGCCACTTATGTTACCTATTTAAATTTATTTTAATATTGGTTCTCTTTTTTCTTAACTGTTTTCTTAACTTAAAAACTTTATTCTTTTCTTTTATCTTTATTTCGTTGAATTGTATGTAATTGTGTGTTCTGTGTGTGTAGTATAAAATTATAGTATGATGTAAAGAGTGAAGCATAAAACAGTGGCTTATACAATTATTTGATTTCATGTTGTTATGATCAGAATAAATATGGACTACTACAAGCTTATTGTTAAATATTATGGGAAAAATAACATTAAATGTTACAAATTGGATTTCAAAAACTCTCTGCCGTATTCCGATTTCTAATATTTAAAAAAAAACACCAGGAATTTAAAAATGAAGTGAAACTGATTTATAAAAATATATATTTCCATCGTATCGACTACGTATCGCAAATTGATAGATTTTGAGTATTCCAAACATAGTTCCATTTGCGCCAGCCAGGAGTTCTGTTCATATTTCCATACATTTTTTTAGTTGATGTCGATACGCAAACGTTAGTGTCAATTCTGGATTTAAGTCTCTAAACTTAATTTCTGTTGTCTTTATACTCTGGGAGTCACGCGTACCCAATAGTTAGGTATAGTTGTTATAATTCCCTGTATTCTTTCAGCTGGTTTTTTCAGAGGTTTACCGTCAGCAGTCGATACTCTAAACGCTTGCATGAATGTTGAGAACACTTGGAACATGGTCTGCCGCGCATATGTTTCACCAGCGCACAATCTTCTACCTGTAAGAGATATTACTAATTAATTTGAAAATATATAAAAATAATCTTTAAGATAATTTTGTTCCTTAAAGATATATAAAAATGGCAGGCAAACAAAATTAACTGATTTTTGAGATTCAGTCAATAAATTTCGAAGGGTATGTACCTATGTGTTCGATGGTACTTTTCAGAAACCAGCTTGTTCGGTAGGATGGAAGTTGCAAGGTAAGGCAATGTCTGACAGGCAATGCCTTAAAATTACTCGTAATTTACTTCCCGATAAAAATCATCTTTCGTTATGGTTTGACACTACAATTTTATACGCACAAAAGTAATAATGAAGTTATTAGAAAAGAAAATGTCACAACGTAATAACTATATACATATTAATATCAAGCCATAAATATCAAGATATTTATCATGTATCGTGATGTAATATCACCATAATTTATTCGCAAATATATTCTGGAACCCTAAGTTATTTAGTATAAAATATTTATATTAAAATAATGTCCTCCAGACCGAAATCAGAACAGGATTATAGGACGGCAATTCAACACGATCGGACATAGATCGAGCGCAGGATCAACGGTTTTTCGTGCTTTCCGAGGCACGTGGATACACTGCCAACTTCTTGACTCCGAGCTGCTGCGTACTAAGAACTTTTGGACAGAATTACATAAAAACGGATTTTAGCGAGACTTGGGCTTAGAACCCGAGACTAAACGTTCAGCAGTCGAGCTTGTGACAACTAGACTAAGACGTTTTTTGAAATGAAACAGAAAAACGATAAAATTTGGAATGACTGGCGAAAAAATCTTAATGTCCATTAATTACCCACATTACGTAATACGAAAAGAATAATTAGATTTTTTGTGTGATTATTCGATAGATCTCAAAACCATAAGCGAGTTTAAAACCATTATTTTTTACAATAATAATAATTATTGGCTTTTGTTGACGTTAGAAGTAGTGGGACCTTCGAAGACACTTTTTTACGTGGTAGAGCCACGCTGCAGCTATATTATGGTTGTAGCATGAATGGGTCGGCTCGAGCGGGGAAGGACCACGCTCTTACAGAAAACCAGTGAAAAATAACAGCTTAATGCTGCTGCGTTTCGTATGATGAGTGTAGAGAACCGGAGACCCATTTTACTGAGATCAAGGCATTCCATCTTAGTCCTCAGGGGTTACAACGCATCTACATTTTGATTCTTAATCGAATGTAGATATCTATGGGCCACAGCATCCACTTACCATCAGGTGGACTGTGTGCTCGTTTGTCACCCTTATCCTATAAAAAAAAGACACGAAATATTTAAGAAGTGGCATAATTTGACTAAGAAATGTCCATTTCCTAGAAAAATTACTAGATTTTTTAATCGGAACACAACACCAAAATAAAATTTTATCTATCAATTTTCGAAACGTACCTAAAAGATATAGATATAGTCGCAGTGATTATTTTAGCCTCATTGACGATAAGTGACGTATACAGACTAGCAACAATCGTAAGCCGCGTCAATAAATCCGATAAAATTATTCCTAATGTTGAAACTCACTTATCTCTAATATTCACTATTTATTCAAGGATGTTAAGATAGTTTCAGAGAATATGGGAATCAATAAAAATAGTCAAAAGAGAAAATGACTATGATTTACTATCGCATCGGCATGGGATCCTATCTTATAATTAAAATTTAAGTCAAGCATACGAGTACCACTGCAAGATATTGGATTATCACGTTATTGCGTAGATTGGATTTTAGATTAGTAGTTACCATGATAACAGGACGTCTAAAACCTCTATCTCTTACTATAACTAAATCGTTAGGAATATTTATAATAAATAATATAATTATATATTGAACGCAAAAGAGATTAAAGGATCATGTAAAAGCTAACGCAAAATTCGCACTCTTAATTATTGAATAAAACTCTGGCGACGTATAGATGGCAATGGCCATCCAAACATTTGTCTACTCGTGTGGCGGCGCTGTCGTCGCGCCGCAAGCGAAACATACCGAAGCCTAAATCACGCTAACAACATTCCGAATCATAAACAGCATACATAGAACATTTCCGAACTACCACACGGAGCGTTGGCCGCTCCCCGGGCATAACACCTTGCCTGGCGGGAGGTCTCCCCTTTTCCTTCCTCGGCCACAGTGCTGACCACCCGATGTGATCTGAACACGCAACCAAACACCTTCGGAAACTACAACTTCAAGCCTTCGTCATTATCCTCAAGAACCCCTACCATTCACTACTGAGAATCGTCTTCTGCAGTCTTCAGTTCCTGCAAGCCAGTCATACTTGTCTTCATCTCGACTCACCGCAGATTTATAAGGCAGACTTCTGGCACTTGCTCCGGCACATCGTTCTCACCGGCATCACTTGCCAGTGCGTACTACGGCATGCATTACACATCGCCATATCATTCGCACCGGTGTCACTTGCCCTTACGCACACAGCATGCATTCCCCACCGGCATTAAGAACGCACCGGCAATCGGACTTCACTATCGACCTCTGGTCTGAGCAGGGGGGTGATGTGGCGGCGCTGTCGTCGCGCCGCAAGCGAAACATACCGAAGCCTAAATCACGCTAACAACATTCCGAATCATAAACAGCATACATAGAACATCTCCGAACTACCACACGGAGCGTTGGCCGCTCCCCGGGCATAACACCTTGCCCGGCGGGAGATCTTCTCTTTTCCTTCCACGGCCACACTCGTATTAAACATTTCAAGAAGGGGTTTTGCCATAAACACAGCGCCAAGCAATGGATAAATATCCATTCAAATATGCCTAATCTGTAGCTTATAATAGAGGATTGGAAGTGGCGTCAACCCATAAAATGATGATTATACAACGATATTGGCTCCTTATTCACTCACTAGCGTAGTAAGTATGAGCAAATATCAAAAAATATCAAAAGTTAGCCTTGCGTATTTTTGAATAGGCCATCACACGGCAGTGTTATTACCTGCTCCGAATGGTAGACTTTTGTCTTTTGTAATAAGTAACTGGCCATTTTCAATAAATCTCTCAGGCCTGAAATTTTCGGGGTCGCCCCATATCTCCTTATCCATATGCAAGGCTACGTAATTTACGCTGACCATCGTGTCCTGAAACAAAGTAGATATTTTTTTTATCTTACACAAATAGTTTAACACAAACCTCTAAAAGGCATTTGGCAAAGAACAAAACACTATTGCCGAAAATTATAGTTAAATCTGTTAATTGTTACACATACCTATCGATGAAGAACCTTAAATAAATATTATTCTGTTTTTGATATAAAGCTATTGATGTTAAGAAAACCGTAGGCCTAAAAGGGATTTCCGTTAACATTATTGCGTACATAATAGAGACAATTGTTCCTTATTTATACATTATTTTTAATACAAACTTCAAATCTGGTGTGTTTTTCAATTTGGTGAAACATACTAAACTCATATCTCTATTTAAATCTGGTAGGACGGACTGGTAAAAAGGAATTAAATTGTAATTCTCTTATTCATTTTGCCACCATTACTTCTATTAAAAAACTAAGTGTGAGAAGCGAACCCACAGTCCATCTAGTAAATGGGTGTCAAAGTGAACAGGCTTTTGTTCGCTAAGACAGTGTGCTTTATCATCTAAGGATTCATTACCATTAACCACCAGGTGCGATTGTAGACAAGCACTGGTTTGAAAATAAGTAACAAAATAAACTTATTATGTGGTCTAAAGACACGTCACAGAAATTGTAATGCCGCCTGAGGGTTGAGAATTTTTGCCACATTTCAGTAAAAAAATGTGTCTCCTGCTCTCGTCACTCGCAATACGGGAGGACTTATGCATGCTGTAGTAAAAAAAAAAAAAATATATATATATATATATATATATATATATATATATATATATATATATGAATGAGGAAGAATATAACATTGATTTATTCATTACAGCCTGTAAAAAGGTTAAGCACAGGCCTTCCCAAGGATTGCCTCACAGGAGGAATTTTACCATAGTTGCCACACTTGACAGATGGATTAGCAACTACAGTTTTATTTTTGTCAGATATTATCACAAAGATGCTACTGCCCATCTTCTATTTCATTCTTATTCGGTCACCCCTTACGGCACCCACGGGATGATATGGACGTATAATGTAAAATAATAAAAATTGACAAGAATATTTGCATTAAAGTTACCTCGGGCACATCATAGCTACCGATTTTGGTATCGTGCAAAGCGCGATGTCCTATTCCCAATGGTACTAGAGTGTCATATCTCATCTGTTCTCTGATACAGGCCTCTGTAAACGGCATACTGCAAAACAAAGGTATAGTTAATAATAATAACAATAATGAGTTTATTTATTAAGGTATCAACCCATTTATGTCTTGTACATTTTGTATGTAAGACAATGAAAAAATTAAGTATTATATACACATACAAAAATACAAATTAAACTCTATTATGAGTTAAAATATCATACTTAAAATAAATTGTTTATAACCTATAACGTTCGATGCATCTCCTGCCAGTGTTTATAAAATATATAGTCAGGAGACACCTGAGCAACGACCTTGAATAATACATTTGTTGAGTTACGTACAGTTTCCCAGAAACTGGCCGTTCTACAAAGTAACGCTGCGTAAAAGTCTGAGACAGCAGCTTCCTCGAACATTGCGGATAGGATCTCCTAGGTGTGAGTTGTTTGTGATTAGCAGTGATCACATACAACCGCCGGTACGACATACTCCGCCGATCGTTGAGTCCGCTGATTCCGTGAGGCGTCGAGGTCACCGGCCCCTAGGTAGATTCTTGGCGCTTTAAGACGCTCGTGTCTATAGTGCCTAGTCGCGTTCTTAAAGTGCCACCACCGCACTTCCCCCAACCATTTTGGTATAAAAGGGGTAGGCAGTGCCCATAGTGTCGAAGCTCTTAAGCTGTCATCATCACCATCCGCGTCGCGCAACACCAGTTGCTACCGATCGGCTGGTTAGGGCCTAGTAAAGTTTACCACTGACTCAGTTAGGTAGAGCACCAACATGTCAGGTAAAGATAAGGGGGAGCCCCCGCCCCCTAAGTCAAGAAAACCACCGGACCGCCCTGGCGTTTTGGAGAGGCCAATCGCCTATAGGGACATCTTCAACCCCGAAAGGACTAGAGTAGTGTCATCCTACTCTCAAATCCCGACCCGAAAGCCTTCGTCGCCGGGTAAAGAGCCCGCACCGAGGGCCGCGCTCTCGCCCATCGTACCTGAGTGTACCACTGGGCGTGAACCGTTGCCCCTTCAACAGCGGGCAAAGAAGACGCCACGAAGGCACACACCACCCGAGACCGATGCCTGCCTCCACGAGAAGAGGCAGCGCATCGGTTCTCGTGACCCAACGCTATTGGAATCATCACCACCATCATCATCGGATGATGAGGAGCCCCAACCTGCGACTAGGAAAAAGGTCCATACCTCACCTCCTAAATCGCCATCACTACCGCAACGACCACCATCCATCTCACCGGACCGGCGTAGTCACGACTTGGCCCAATATGAGTAAGGAGGTGAGGAATCCTACAGCTGGGGCTCTACAACCTATGCAACCCTAACTGCATCCGCCGGAAGATCATCCCCGGTGCAGATTACCAACCCGTCCGGGTTTACCACGAGCTATGCCCGTTGACTGCGGCCCCCGCAATACCACGACCACAATCGGCGGAAGAGCCACAAAAAACCGAGAAAGAGAAGGAAGGAAACCGATTGTTGCTGAATGCCTCCCGGACTGGACCAGGCATTTCGAGGAGCTCAACAGAAAGTTGGGCCACCCTCCTAATGCCCGTCCGTTCGGGAAGAGTGTAAGGTTCGCACCCCAGAGTCCGGAGGAGTTTCGAACTATACAGAGATATATGGTCGAACTCTCCGAGAAACTACCAACCATGTCGTGGTATTGCTATACCCCGGCTTAAGAGAAGCCCACTAAAGCGGGCATCCGGGGCCTGCCAGTGGGCACGGATCACAAAATGATTGACGAGGCTATCCGGGCAAAAGGCTTCCCCATCACCTATGTGAAGGCCATACCACCACGTAGAGGCAGACCGGGCTGCCTCTACTATGCACAGCTAGAGCATCTGAGCCCGGAGCGGCTACAAGACCTGTACCGGATCAACGAGCTCCTCTATATGAGAGGAGTAGTCATCAAAGCCTGGCAGAGGAAGACGGGACCGGCACAATGCCACCGTTGCCAGGCTTTCGGCCACGCCTCCGCAAACTGCTTCAGGCCAGTGAAATGCGTTCGCTGTGCTGGGGAGCATATTGCTAGCCTTTGCCCAAGGGGTAGAGAGGAGGAGCTAAAGTGCGCAAATTGTGCAAAAAACCACACGGCCAACGATCGCCGCTGCCCAGTCCTGAGGAGGATTGCCAGGAAGCAGGGGATTGTTCTACCTGGGCTACTCCCGGAGAACCCTAAGAGGATCCCCCAGAGTCGCCCAAAGGCTGTCACCATCCAGGAGGATGGGTGGGCCACAGTCACCAGAGGGAAGGGTAGGCAACCAGCCTCCCACTCCCTCCTAAAATACCAATGGAAACGGTGGAGTGGAACAACCCATAGAGCAAAGGGCAACCACCGGGGCGACTCTCTAACCTCCTGTCAACAACGCCACGGAGAGGCAACCTTCCCAAAGGAAGAGACGGAGGAACAGGAGCAGGAAGACTGAACAGCCCCCTCCTCAGGCTGTGATTACCTCTACCCCTACAACAACAGGACCGATAGCCTCACAGGCGCAGGTTACTGAGAGAGCACCACCGAAAAACACGACGGGTAGAGCGCCAGAAAGGGCTCTACCAGAAAGTAGAGCCCGCTCTACACATAGAGCGCGCTCTACACAGAGAGCGCGCTCTACATATAGAGAAAAGACCACAAATGCCCCGAGAACAGTGCCTTCACAACATAGACCATCAACGTCCGGCCTCGAGACAACTGATGCCATCCACAAATTGGTAGGCATAGCTATTGAGGTCGGTACACAAGTCCTGGCCGACATAAGGGCCGGGACAGATCCAGTAACCGCCGTTATGAAGGCGTTGGCATCGCTACTGGCAAGGCACTACGGAGGACAGTAACCTGCGTCTGCTTTACTGGAACCCGGATGGGATCCAACAAAGGATCCATGAACTCCGCACGGTCGCCCAGCAGCAGGACATCCAGGTGATCTTGCTGGGTGAAACCAAAATAAGACCATCAACGCATCTTAAGCTGCCAAACTACACGATCTACAGGAGGGACGAGGTCAATCCTCAAGGGATCGCTTACAGAGGGACAGCGATTCTGGTGAGGAGAAACATCGTCCACCAAGAACTGGACCTACCAGACAGACTCCCGGCATAAAAATGGAGGCGGCGGGCGAGGAACTAAGGATTTTTGCAGCATACCGCCCGCCAGGGACTCCATTCTACTCCTCAGACATCCGGACGGTTATGGAAGGTACGACACCCACCATCGTCGCCGGGGACCTGAACGCCAAACACCCGGCGGGGGGATTAAGACTGATCAAGCCGCCGGGTCGTGAACTATATGATGATGCAGAAAGCCAGAACTATGACGTTCGAAGTCCCGAGGAACCGACGCACATCCCTACTGATCCTAAGAAGCGTCCGGATGTATTGGACATCGTGCTCACTAGGAACGTCAACTACCCGGTAGTGGTAGAGGTGGTGTACGACTTAAATACACAGCACCTCTCGATTCTGAATACCCTTGGCACTAAGGCAGTGACTTCGCCGCTCAGAGCCGTTAAGACCAAGATCGACTGGAGGCTCTACCACCAACACCTGCAGGAGAGACCTCCAGCCCACACATCGATCCACTCAGCGGACGACGTAGAGGCCGCTGCAACCAGAATAACCACGAGCATCCAGGGGGCCCTCAACGCGGCCTCTACGATCATCCCTCTCTCTGGAAGAAAGGAAGAGCCGCCGCTAAACATACGCGTGCAGCTGAGACACAAAAGAGCGCTGAGAAAGCTCTGGGCGCGCACTCGCTGCCCCAGAATAAAAACGAAGCTTAACACCTTAACGGACGAACTGTCGGTTGCAATACAGGCCTACAGAGGAGAGGCCTGGGAGCGGCGCATTTGGAAGGCTGACGAACTTCAAACGTCGCTCTACACATTGAACCGGCAATTAACGAAAACCCGACCACCTGTTTGCCCACTGACCAACAATGCGGGCGAACAACGTTATGATGCCAAGGGCAGAGCGGATATCCTAGCTGAGCACTTCGAGGAGCAGTTTATACCGAACCCAGCAAGTGCGGAGTTCATGGAAATTCACACCCGGAAGGAGAGCCGCGTGCAGGAGTTCCTGTCGTCGCCCGCGCCACCGCTTGCAGGAGAGTGGTTTATCTCCCCCGCTGAACTGCGGAGGTCAGCAAACCCGCCTGCAACCGAGGAAGGCTCCGGGGTACGATGGGATTACCAACGCTGCACTACGACAGCTGCCCAATAGAGTTCTTGTAGAGATGTAGAGATAGGTCGACTCCACAATGGCATATTGCGGACATCCCACTTCCCGGAGGACTGGAAGAAAGGCAAAATCATCGTCTTGCCGAAACCCGGGAAGGACAGCCGTAGAGCTGCCAGCTACAGGCCGATCACGCTGCTACCGCATATAGCTAAACTGTTTGAAAGAATACTGCTCAGACGTCTCCGCCCGTGCATCCAACTTCGGGCGGAGCAGCATGGATTCAGGAGGGACCACTCAACAGCAACACAGCTGACCAGAGTGCTGCACATGCTTGCGGCCGAGCACAACCGCGGCCGCACATCGTTGGGCGTCTTTCTCAATATCGAGAAGGCGTTTGACAGGGTGTGGCACCCAGGATTACTCTACAAGTTAGACGATCAGACCAGTGTCCCTCCTGCTATATTGCGGCTAGTGGCGTCTTTCCTCATAGACAGGAAGTTCTACGTCTGTGTAGAGGACGCCGAGTCCGCAATAAAACCCATAACAGCTGGTGTGCCACAGGGCAGCTGTCTATCTCCAGTCCTGTACGCGGCTTACACCAATGACATCCTTACCCTGGCAGGGCATCTGCACGAATGGGAGGACGACGTCCAACTGGCGCTTTTTGCGGATGACAGCGCCTACTTCACCTCGTCCAGAAGAGCCCATATCGCCACTGCCAGGATGCAACGTCTGCTGGACCTGCTGCCACCATGGTGGGATGAGTGGAGGATGGCCGTCAATGTTAGCAAGACGACCGCTCTGCTCACTCGCCGCTATAGAAACCTACCACCACCGTTAACCCTCAGAGGCCAGGAGATCGCATATG